TATATATATAGCAGAATTCAACAAATTCAACAGAATAAAAAAGGAAACATAGATAAATAATGCTTTGTTTCAGCTTGACAGGATGTGTGTTGTTGGGATGTATATCTAAAGTTTTTGAGCGCCCAGACAGATACTAAAGAACTGCAGCCATTAAAGGGCTCTATACCATACTGCAGAGTAAGGGTTTTAAACAACAGGGGGCCAATGATTCTGTGGGGAGTGTCGGGTATAAAAACATGGGTTAAATCAGAAAGAACAGCAGAGTAGCATTATCAGCAGCATTCCAACTAGAACCATGGATACAGTTGACATGAGCAAGGGCAAGGTAAGCTTAAAGATATCTGAATTTATGTGAATTTATTAGTTGATAAATAAATATTTTAAAGTACATGAACTGCCAAACAACAGACGTCTGTTAGACATTGGTTTTTAGGCTAAATATGCTCGGTCCATCATAATCTTGATTTAGTCCGGAAATAGTTGGTAAATATTGGGGTGTGTTTGGTCAGTCTGATTTTGTCACACTATAGTCCAATAATAGAAGTTGGAAAGACATTGAAAACCCAGGTTTCAATGTATTTTCAACAATCTACAAGTTAAGGCTTCCCCCTAAACACCAGACATCATTTGGACATTGGTTCTTAGGCTAAATCTGGTGGGTCCATCATAGTTTTGATTTAGTCCAAAAACAGTTGTTGAAAATTGGGCTGTGTTTGGTCAATCAGATTTTATCACACTTTAGAACATTAATAGATGCTGAAAATTGTGGCTTTTCACCTTTCACTTTTCAAACAAATGTAGAAATCTTTTGGATCTAATAGATGTCATCTTTTAAATGTCTTTTCAACCATCTTTTGTTCAGTATGTAGCATTTATCTTATGTCTCCTGCTTTACAGATTATCTTCTATGAAGATAAAAACTTTCAGGGTCGCTCCTATGAGAGCAGTGGTGACTGTGACGACATGTCCTCCCACCTGAGCAGATGTAACTCCTTCAAGGTGGAGTATGGATTTTTTATTGTTTACGACCGCCCCAACTTCATGGGAAACCAGTATTTCATTAGAAGGGGAGACTATGGTGACCATATGAGTACGATGGGCTTGAGTGGTGGAATTAGATCTTGCCGTATGATCCCCTTGGTAGGTATAAAGACAAAAATATGATTATTGTGATTTTTGTTTAGTCGTAAACGTTGAGTAAGTATCCCTCCAAACAGTACAGGGGAGCCTACAGGATGAGGATCTATGAGAGAGAGAACTTCGGTGGTCAGATGTATGAGTTGATGGATGACTGTGAAAACATCATGGATCGCTACCACATGTCCGACTGCATGTCCTGCCACGTGATGGACGGTCACTGGATGATGTACGAGCAGCCCTTCTACAGAGGCAGGATGATGTATCTGAGGCCCGGAGAGTACAGGAGCTTCAAGGAGATGGGATACGGAGGCATGAGGTTCATGAGCATGAGGAGGATCACGGATATGATGTAGAAGCTACAAAAAGATAAAGAAAGAAATAAAAAAATACATATATTTAAACAAACTGTTGATGTATCTTTGTTCTTAAATTAATTACTCACAAAATACAATTAAATATTACACATTACACATTTCAATGTCAGAGCAAATATACAATATTGAATATGGTGGAGTTTTCTCCAATGGGGGCATAAACTCAGACATATACCAAAAACCAATCAAATGTATACTAATTTATCATACCAAAATATTTATATGACTGCCAACAAAAAACAAAACAAAAACTAACATAATTTCATGTACAGGTTTACTTTTTGTACATAAATGTCCTTGTGAGGTTTTGTGAAGGTAAGTCTGTGTTTTGCATGGTCCAATATTGTGTCACAATATACCAGTTTAATAATGGAGAAGCTATTACCCAGCTTTATATCTTTTAATATATAAAAACGATTTATTTTCTGAGAATGTGTTTATTTAAACAACTATGAAAATTAACAAACATCCTCAAAAGTTCACTGTATCATATTATTTTCCCAGAGTGTTCATGCTTCTTTCCCTTTTCTGAAAGAAATATTTAAATCAGTCCTACCAGTCTTTATCCATAATGGGTCAGATCCTGAGATTTTAAAAAGGAGGCAGGCTGTCAGCAGAATAAGGTCGTAGCCTCGTTGCATGCAGTTAGCCAAGCCTTCTTGCTAAACCAGGTCCTGGAAAAGGTCTTTTCTTGCACTATTTCTCTCTCTCTCCAATGCATCTCCAGATCCCACGACTCGTTCTGTCAATCACACTGCAAAACGTCTTGGCTGTGGCGGGAGGTGGCGAACAAATATACTTCCTGTCACCTCAGGTCGCTGCTGTGCCCTGGAGGACGTATCCATTTGTATTCAGGGTATACGTCCTCCAAAGGCCAGATTCGTAGGCCGATTACATCCTAGCGCAGTGTAGGTACCAGACCTGCTCGGGTGGTCAGATCTGCTCAGGTCCTGAGCATGCCAGTGACGTTACGCTACATGATTGGCTGAACCTTTCCACTTGATGTAAAACATTATGGTTGCCTAGACAACGGTAATACAATCATGCAGCGTCAGAGTGCCGAACCGGGAGCTTCTGTCGTGTTAGCATGTCTAAAGACCGATGAAGTTTTACATGATCGATAAAATACACATATATATATAGATATATATATCTATATATATATGTTTATGGTGAACAAAGTAACTGTCAGACCATGATATAGAGGGGGAGATTGTCATGTTTTATCTAAAGCTCGGACCCACATTCAGAGAAACCAATTCAGAGAGACCAGGGGAAAGTTTTAACAGGTTTTATTGAAGAAGTAAAACAGAGGGAGAAGTGTTGCTCTGAACACTATAAAGTGAGGGGAAGACACAGCGGTTAGTTCAGGCTCAGTGGGGATTTTGACTCGTGAACTTGGAGTAGAGGATTTGGTTGCCGACTCACGTTTCCAGAGAAGTTGTTGAATCCTTGACTCCTGCCTGTGTGCCGTGGTTCCAGTGTTTGTCTGATTCAGTGGAGGGCGGAACAGGGTTTACCCAGAAAGCGGTTGTTAGTAGGTGAACGGAGAAACTGACTGCCACTCAGATTTCCTGCGGTACTTGAACAGGTCGTAGTGGAGAATAATCCCTTTCTCGGTGAGAAGCTCAAACGATCTCTTGGGGAAAGTGGATCCCAACCCTCCTGTTTGAACCCCAGCTCAGTTTGAAGCTCAGTTAATCATTCCAGGGAGAGAAGGTCCGAAACATCCAATTTGCAGGATGACTTCATGCCGAGAGGCAAAGACTAAAAAAAAACAGTTAAACTCAGGTTGACAAAAACTCAGTTTGACGTAGCAAAACTCAGCTTGGCTAGAGTACCCAAAACTGGCAAACACTGTGGCGTTGAGGTAGTGGCAGTCAGCAGCTTAAGAACACTCCGTCTACCGAGGAAACCAACACCAGGCGTGTGAGGAGGTGGACCAGCACCAGGCGCCTCCTGGTGGATAAAGGGAGACAAACACAGACACACAAACACAAAGACAGGAGTCCTGACAGAGAGCTGGGTAGCGCTGTGTCTAGCTGTGTTTAGTAGCTAACAGGCCATATTAAGCTACTATACTTTTAACTTTGTTTCAACACTCTTTTTTTTTTACAGGTAAAATAGCTGTTTTATAAGTCCAAAATCTCTACAAAAGTCATTTTTGAGATATTAAATTTGTCTTTTCTGTCCTCAGATCTCAATAAAAAGAATAAAAATAAGCTGAGACTTTTTTTTGGTCATCTTGTTAAATGGCAGAGCTCAGTCTTAGAATGCAGTACTTTCTTCCAAGACTTAGAATGATTGTTTCCTACTTTCGGCTACTTTAGATCACCAATGAAATGTAAAATAATAGAAAAGATAGGTAAGAATATATGGAGACTCCAAAAGGGATTTTATTCTTATGAAACAGATTGCCTGAGTGGAGTTGCCATATGTTAAAGTTATAAGAATGGGCATGGCCCCTGAGCAGATCTCGTACCTACAGCGGCACCGAGGTCTGTTCGGATTCTAAGACTCTTCGTTATGCAGCTGACAAATGCATCCTCCTTCACGCTTTATTAATAATTAAAAATTTATATTTATCTTGCACATTTAAAAAAATATATCAGTTTGTTTAGAAATATTTTAAATATTAATTTAAAATGAAATTCCAAAAAAAGAAATTACTTCATTTTTTTTTGTCTTAATCAGGGTCATTAGGTGGGTGGGGTGGCGCTCTAGCGCCCTCTATTGGCCAGCCGCCACTGAATGTATGAATTGAACACTGAAGAAGGATTTATATTTATTCAAGCTTTTCAACTTTAAAAACAGACTCCCATGAAATGATTTCCCTTTTCTTGTTAGCCTTTATCAATTAATGTTAATTTTACTTCGTAAAGCACATTGATGTTTAATGCACATAAGGTATAATGCTAGGGTGACCAAACGTCCGTATTTCCCGGGACATATCCGTATTTCACGTCCTGTCCCGGGCGTCCCGGGTTTTTTTTAGAAAGTGAGGAAATGTCATGATGCTGCGTGTGACGTAATCCCTGAGCCGCGTCAGTGCTTAATCAGAATATAGATTGCGTGGCTGTCAGTACGTCAACAACATGAAAAAGCGCAAATGTATGTTTACCGACGATTTACAAAAGAGTTTCCCCGCTTTCAGACCGGGTCGAGACAAATGGGAGGCCTTGTGCACATATGTCTCGGTGTCCAATGGAGCTGCAAGGGATCTGAAAAGCCACCTGGACTAAAGTAAAGATAGTCTATTGATATGTTTGTTCGTTTTTTGGTACATTTTGAATAATTTTTGCTACACACGAGGTATTTTTTGTTAATTAGCTAATTTGTTAATTTATTTTTACCAATAGCCTACAAAACAGACATTATTTCGTTCATTACTGAGGCTGAGTATCATCTGTTATTGGGAGTTGAGAGTTATTGTTAACTTTTATTGTTAAGTGAGGGATGTTTAGATGAGACGTTATTTCTTTCATTGTGCATTGTGGTTTTCCGAAATGAAAATATGGTCACCCTAATAATGCACCATTGCTTTTTTAAAATCTTCTATCTAAAGCACTCATATACCAAGTGTTGGATGGGATGATATGGCCCTGTATGTCTATCTGACCATGTATGACATTCTGACAGAACAGCGGCCTTTAATGAGGCACACCTGCAGCTGGTTGACGGTCATCAGGAACAGCATTTAGGGAGGAGTGAGGACTGATTGTAACACTAAAGTGGTAATGCAAGCCTCTGAACCCCAGCCTGTTTTTGCTCTGTTTTCGAAATGTTTTAACCTCTGTTTTATCGCTCTAAAGATTTCATGTTCCAAGTGGATCCTGCTGGTTGTCTATGTCCAGAATCTCTCAGAAAAATGCCCATTGTGTGGATCCAGTTTGTAAATGGCAGCAGGGTCCTCCACTCCTGACCGAAACATTTCAAAGCTTCACCTTGCTTGTTTCAGACTTACTGTGCCAGACAAAAGCCACAAACCCACCAGGTTTCTGAACAAGTCTCCTTCCTGGAAACCATTTCTAGGTTTCTCACCACCACCTAGTGGAGGACAGGCATATGCACCAAGATACTTCTACAAGTTAGTGGAAACTAACTTTAACTTTTAACACTTTCTAGGGAGTTTTCTGAATGTGGGACAAACACTCTGATAAGAACATCATGACAACCACAAGCACTACATTCCATGTTAACTCCCGTAAACACAGAGCATTCTCGCTTGTGGCATCATTGCGTCCTCTACTGCACATGCAGGACATCTAAGTTGTATGAATGCAGTTCACACAGGAGATTACAAAACACAAAAGGATCAGTTTTGACAAAAATAAAATAAAATAAAAAATCGGAACTGAGCATTAATGCATGCAGTTTGAACATAGTCTAAATGCTGTGCAGTTACAAGAGGGAGCTTGTAGTATCAACAAGATTTACAACAATTGTAGTGCTCAGGAATTTAAGTAAGAAATGTATTAATTTATGGTTTTACTCCCCATTGAATACACATACTTGAATTGATGTATCTCATAATGCTAGAGCATCTTTCCATGATTAAAAACAATACAATCATCTGTTTCTTAAGGTTTATTAATGCAAATATATATGTATCATTGTTGAACAAACCTGGGCAGGGTGTATCCTGTGTCTCTTCAAATTGACTGGT